TTCCCGTACAGTATGTTTCCTCGCCCAGAGATTTGTGTTTTTTTTTCCTTCTCAACTACAGAGGAAAAAAATTGCTACAGATGCGCGCTAGACGCTACAGCTAACCAATGCAGGCGGGACACGGTGCGTGCGCAGGGCAGACTGGGACAGGCTGAGTGACTGGTTGACGGCAGCTGCCGTTCTGGCGCCACAGCGATGCTCCGTTCATGTGATGCTCCAAAGAGCTCGTGTCCTTCCGAGTCCCCATGCCACTGAACTAGGACTATTCTACACTCACGAAGCAATACAGGACACACGAGAGAAGACAAAGAAGTGCTCAATTACTGACGAGCATTTTAACGACGTGGAGGGGAGGGCTGGGGGAAGGGAAGGGGGGCATGGATGTGCCTGTGAGGAACGGGGGTTGGGTGGCTGGGACCAGGAAGCCGTGGGGTGCGGTGCTTGTCGCCAGCTGATCTTCTTGGACTCGAAGCTGCCAGGACCCACTTCTAGAACTTCAGTTACAATGCTGCAGTCATTATGAATAGCTTCAGCAGATTACAACACCTCACTTTTTAAAGTCTTCATATGGAGAACCTCTCTCTGTGTGTGTGTAAAACAGGACTTTGTGTGTCCCCCTCCCCCATTTCTCCTGCTTACTCTCTGTACTGTTTGGTACCACTTCAGAGGCACGAGCCATCCACAATGTGAACATTCCTTGGCACAGTACCAGAAAAGCATTAAATGTAAGAGCCTGGAAGCACGGAGTGAGATACTTTTATTTCTAGTCATGGAGTCCTCCATTGTACAGAAATGATAGTTTATTTCAGCCAGTGAACAAGAGTTGACAGATCACAGACAGCATCACAGGTACTACCAGCACTGCGAAGATTCACCCACAATTTGGGGGCAACGAAATAACCCAACTCCATGCAGCAGAGAATTACCCTCAGGCTTGCTGCCGAGTCTCAGTTGGGTGCACAAGGTGTACGTATATCGACTCTTCCTAATCAAGTATTTGCTAAAATCAACATCAGAAGCATTAAAGGCTTTTAAAACTTCTGGACACCATATAGATTTAGATCTTTATATATATATATATATTTATAGATATTTATATAACAGTAAAGATATGTTTCTCATTACTACAATATAACTCATTTTTATTCTGTTAAAGCAACTGGGAGGAAGGAAAAAACCAGTTTCACTAGAGTCACGTCTGATATGTGCAAGCCACAAGGTACGACAGAACAAAGCCGTGTTTTTAAGATGTGCGTCGGACCATTCCAGGACAGAACAGCTAAGAGGCAGATAAAAGGATGGATCTCGGGGGGAGCAGAGTTACATGTCAAATGGTGGCTTTGGACTCTCCGGGCGGGAGGGGCTAGCTTTGCCAGGGCGGCTGGAATGTAAAGAAAGAGACAAGAACACACACAATAAAAACAACAAAGGAAGAGAAGGGGGGAGCAAGACAAAAAAAAAAGAGTAAAACAATAGTTAAAAATATGGAAAGAAACATCGGAACTCTGCATAGAAAGGATTCTCAAACAGAAATCAAAAGCAACAGCACTGGGATAAAAGAACTTAAACTGTAAGTGGGGTTGACTCCGCGACTTACAAAAAGAATGGCTCAACTTGGTTTGGGATAAGGGTCAGCGGGTGTTGAGTTCTTTCACTGTTGCATTTACTCCCCAGGGTGTACGTAAAGAATCCAGCTAAGAGGATGAGTCAGCGACCACAGTGACATTCCCCCACCACCACCACCACCACAGACATATATGTGTACCGGCTGCATGCAAGTAGTAAAGAAATATTAAGAACCACCAGGATATTCAAGACACCAAATGCCTAGTGTGCTTTCCTCCTATCTTCTAAAGTAAAGGTGGTTGCAATCAAACATTTTCCACAGCAAACTTTCCTGGAGAATATTAGCGTGTCCGGGGTTTTTTTTTGCCAAAGAGGAAGTACAGCAAAATTCTCCTAGTGCTTCTCCCTCTCTCCTGGTTCGTGAAAAGTCAGTTCTAAGTGGTGAGAGTAGCCAGACGCTCTTACCCCCCACTTTGCTACCGTGGAGGGCAGCCCATCGTACCAGTTCCTTGTACTCCGAGATGAAGGCAAAGGTCTTCTGTGTCCTTTCGGAATCCCTCCCCAATGGCATTATTGCTGTCTTGTACGAAGGAGGGGCCGACCACTGCTCCAAATATTTTGCACTTTAAATTGAACCCACATACCAGACGTATTACCTTGGTTACCAAGAACATTATACCTTTTCCGTTACAGTATGTTTCCTCGCCCAGAGATTTGTGTTTTTTTTTCCTTCTCAACTACAGAGGAAAAAAATTGCTACAGATGCGCGCTAGACGCTACAGCTAACCAATGCAGGCAGGACACGGTGCGTGCGCAGGCCAGACTGGGACAGGCTGAGTGACTGGTTGACGGCAGCTGCCGTTCTGGCGCCACAGCGATGCTCCGTTCATGTGATGCTCCAAAGAGCTCGTGTCCTTCCGAGTCCCCATGCCACTGAACTAGGACTATTCTACACTCACGAAGCAATACAGGACACACGAGAGAAGACAAAGAAGTGCTCAATTACTGACGAGCATTTTAACGACGTGGAGGGGAGGGCTGGGGGAAGGGAAGGGGGGCATGGATGTGCCTGTGAGGAACGGGGGTTGGGTGGCTGGGACCAGGAAGCCGTGGGGTGCGGTGCTTGTCGCCAGCTGTCTACAGGCCTCGGGTTATAGATCTAAGAGGGACGGCTCAGATGGTCGGATTATGGTGGGTCGAGTAGGTGAAGCGGGGCCCTTCCGGCTGTGGGAGCAGAGAGAGAGAGAGAGAAGACGAGAAGAGGACACGCTGAAGTTAGCATGGTGGCCATTCACAATCCTGCATGCTTCTCTACCTCATCCTAGCCAGCACCTTGACTCGTTTTTCTTTAAAGTATTCACTGTTTCTAAAAAGCCATGGGGCAGACTTACTGGATTTCTCGTCAACAGATTGTCTCCGATCAAAGCTGCTTGCTAGAAAGTTGGTGCTGGTGGCCGGCCGAGTGTCGAGAAGCATGACGTACAACAACCATGATGCTACCGTACCAAGCAAGTGGAAAGAGCAATGTCACACAGGATGAGTGGGTGTCCTCTGGGAGGCGCTGTTTCAGAGACTGCCGGCTAGCCTGGAGCTGGCCCAGCTTTGCCCTAGCAGCTGAGCCGGGGTCGATCCGTGACTTTTTGATCACGGCGGCTGGCGGAGTTCGACTTTGCCCAAGTACACTGAGCTCTCAAGGAACCCACAAAAGGCGTTCGTGAATTTGGCCCTAGTAGCGGTTCCAGCTTTTCTGACAGGGTGAGGAGTTGTTTGGTCATGCTCATGGTGAAATCAGCACAAGGACTGTCGGCTGTTTAACCGCGGCAACCAGTCCGGGGTGTCACAACTGTTGAACAAGCCTAGATTGCGCTGAATCCTGCAGACAGATGTGGACTTTTTTCCTCTCCTTTTGTTATTTTTTTTAATTCTTTTGGAGTATTCACCCTTGTTGACCCAACTGCTATGGATTAATTAATTACAAACCCTGGGAACAGTGATTTCGCTGTAGTGACTGTTGAATTTCCTATAATCTGCCTTGAGCATAGCCCCACAGTGGACGCCAATGAATCTGCCACATGGGTAAGCAGGAGACTGTAGTTGCATATGAATATTATGGGTTGGCTCTCTGTAAATAGTGCCCTCGTGGACATACCCAGGGCCGGCTCACTCACTAGGCGAACAAGGCAATCGCCTAGAGCGGGCCGGCCCTTAGGGGCGCCAAGCTGCACCTGGCCCTGTACTCTGGGAGTTTCTTGATTATTTGTGGTTTTCATTCTTCCTAAAATGCATTTATTTTTTAAAATTGGTGGGTGCATTGGGGGGGGGGGGCGGTGGCACCAGAAGGGATCCTCGCCTAGGGTGCAAAATAAGCTGGGGCCAGCCCTGGACATACCCTGGCAGAGCACTAGTCGTGAGTTCTCACACAAAAAGCCTCCCTGTGGAGGAATTGAATGTTTGTATGCTGTGTGATAACCCTACAGATAAATAACAGAGCGTGCTTCAACAGAAGCCGTGCTCACAGCCTGCTGTACAGTCACATGACATGAAAGCACTTTCATGGGACTGATCTTTTCCTACCCCATCTTGTGTGTTCTGGAGTTCTTTTTTTATGCACCAAACCCAAGTGGGTGTGGTGCAGCGGTTCAAGCATCGAGCTGGGAGGAGACCCATGTTTGAATCCCCACTCTGCCATGGAAGCTCGCTGGGTGACCTTGGGTCAGTCACTCTCTCAGGCTCACCTCCCTCACAGGATAAAAAAGGAGGAAGGGAGACCAGTGTTGTAAAGGGCTGAGAAGAAAAGCGGTATGTAACGGTCCATCTAAAAGACTGAATAAAATCAAAACAACGTCACTTTAAGGAATCTAAAGGTGGCATCGGCTTTACCAACAAGTGTACAGACTGTCCGCTTACATGTGTACAGAATTTATGTAAACTGTACAGCGAGCAAGCAGTTATAGCTGCATAGCCACCCTGCACTTCCCTTTCTAGAGGGCAGACGTGTGAGAAATGGAGTTTATCTGACCCATTCCAGCCCTGCAGCCGAATTCTTAACCTACAACCGCCTCAATTTGCTTGGGAGGTGCTAGCTGTAGTGAAACGGTGAGGTGACCCTAGCAATAAGAGTTGGCTTTGCAACCCACCCACGTTACTTGTAGGCAAGAACTTCAACTGACTTCCTGTTACTTGTCGGCAAGAACATCAACTGACCTCCTTACTTTCTCCAAGTGATCACAGAAGTCTGATGAATTAGTGGATAATGTGTCAAATGCTTACGTGTTCCTGATTTCCTCAATGCATTTTGGGATCCAGTCTCTGGGCAGGCAGTGTTTCCTAACAGCAGGTCCCAGAAGGAAACATGGGCGGCAACCAAACCGCCTCAAAAAGACCTACTCCAAGAGGAGTCTTCCAGAAGCCATCACGCAGCCTAAGCGGAGCTGCTCGGCAGCGGCCACTGGGCAAACGGTCATGATTGAGGAGGGTTGGTTGGAAGCGGTAGAGAAATGATACCCCCAGAAGCAACACTGTCAAACAATTACTGCGATGGATGACCCATGTTACGGCCCACTGAGCTGCAACATGCAGAGTTTCACCACAAGGTAGAAGCCAGCTACAAGGTCACTTGGGGATGATACAGAGAAATGTAGAGGGCTTCCACATCCACCTTTTTACCATTGGCCTCCCCTAATTCTCTGTGTTGTATGATCAAAGCCACTGATTTGGACAGACCTCTGAGGAGATCCCCACCACCTCTGCCCCACGCTTCTAAAATCGAGGGTTTTTCAACATTTCACATTCACACTTCGATAAAATGCTGTTGCATAAGTCCCACTATTGCACTTCTGTTCCCACAGCTTGCCATCTTCACACACCTTTTTGTTTCTTCAATAAAGATCTACACACAACTCTGTAGTGCAACACTGCAGGATCATACTTTCAAAAGCAAAACAAATTATTCTAGCCTTCATGGTTACAGAGGGGACGACGACATGGAAATCCTTCCCATTCCCTTCCTATCATGCAATTCTCCTTTCTTGCAAAACAACCACCCTGAATTACTTTGAATCGTATCAATCATATGGTCTACACACAACTCTAGTGCAACACTGCAGCTTTCTGAGGATCATACTTTCAAAAGCAAAACAAATGATTCCAGCCTTCATGGTTACAGAGGGGGGGGGGACGACATGGAAATCCTTCCCATTCCCTTCCTATCATGCAATTCTCCTTTCTTGCAAAACAACCACCCTGAATTACTTTGAATTGTATCAATCATATTCTTCACCCAAAGAGTAATGAACACGTGGAATTCACTGCCGCAGGAGGGGTGGCGGCTACAAGCACAGACAGCTTCAAGAGGGGACTGGATAAACACATGGAGCAGATGTCCATCAGTGGCTATTAGCCACAAGTTCTAGATAGATCACTCTGTCTGGGGCAGTGATGCTCTGTATTCTTGGTGCTGGGGGGGGGGCAACAGTGGGGGGGTTCTGGGATTCTGGCCCTGTTGGTGGACCTCCTGCTGGTTTTGGCCACTGTGTGGCTCAGGGTGTTGGACTGGATGGGCCACTGTCCTGATCCAGCATGGCTTCTCTTATGTTCTTAGGTCCATTGTAGGAACATATCACAGTCAGCAAATCTAAGAAAGGTGTGCAGCTAACCCATAAAATCTCCCTCACCGAATCAGGTTTTTTTAGCAGAAGACAAGGGAGCCAGGGAGCCTGTATAACGTTCTTATACTTATTGCCTAGTTCCCTCTCTTGTTGTATCTCTCTCTGTATCCCTTACTTGACTGGGAAGCTGAAACAGTGTCCCCGGCCATCTCACCTTCTCTGGATAAAACAAATCCACCGCTACAGTGCTCTGAGGTCCAGACGTACCTCCTCCTCAGCTGCATGCCGGATTATGTGAAAAATCTAACTGTTCCAAAATATAGATTCAGGTGGGCAGCCCTGTTGGTCTGAAGCCATAGTACAATGTTTTAGTCCAGTGGCACCTTTAAGACCAACAACGTTGAATGCTGGGTCTGAGCTTTTGCGTGCTGAAGAAGTGTGCCTGTACACGAAAGCTTATACCCAGCATTAAACTTGGTTGGTCTTAAAAGGTGCCACTGGACTAAAATTGTGTTCTGTTCCAAAATACAGAAAAGCTTTTAGCTTCGGACGTCTATATGTACTACCTTCAGCGGCCACCAGCAGGCGCTGTGCAAAGCAACCATGCTCAAAGAGGTTATGCCTGTGTGGAAGTCGGAAAATAGAGACTACAGTCCATATCCTACTTGATTGCTGTACCCATTCAGAGTACAGAAATGAGCTGATTATCCTTCTTGAAGGTTTGCCCTCTGTGCCACCCGCTGCTAGGGCGACCTGGCTTCTGAGAGATAAACAGTCGCTCAGGCCACGGCCAAATTCCTCTCCGTTGTGGCTCATCGTACAGCTGTTCTGAACCGACAGGTTGGCAGAACAGTCGTTTTATCATCATCCACCCACGGCTATCTGAAGAAATGTGCCTGCACATGTTGTTCAGTCGCACAGTCGAGTCCGACTCTTCGCGACAGCTTATACCTGGAATTAAACTTTGTTGGTTTCAAAGGTGCCACTGGACCCAAACTTTGTTCCATTGCTACGACGTTCAGGAATATCGAAGAAGAGGAAGGAAGAGAGAAAGAAAGACAGAGAATACTAGATAAGGATGGGAAAAGCTCTCTTGCGGTGAAGGAAGAGTGAGCACCGTGGACTAAGAGGAGAAAGAAAATCCGCTGCGAAAGGTGTAAGATGGGATGTTTGTTACTCAGAGAAGGATCTGATCTACAGGCTGGGGGGCGGGGGCAGGCAGGCAGGCAGGCTCATTGCAGCAATCCAAGCACTTAGGGGGGGGGCTGAGCATCCATACATCCCAAGCCAGCAGGAAGTACAACTGCACGGCTCCCGGATAAATGCTCTTCAGCCTGCCTTAGCCACAGAAATAGGAATGCAAGGACAATAGATCTTGTAAGGGCAATCAGCCAGGGGCCAGAACGGAGCACTCAGCCCTTCCCCGATTGACTCCTAAATGCCCCTCTGAGGCTTTCCTTTTTTTGGAGCCCAGCTAAGAAAAGGACTGGAGGGGTGCGTGTGCACCCTTGCCAGACGGGTGTTGCTGCTGGGCTATTGTGTGGTGGCTGCTGCTGGCCTCTGGCTTCAGGCCAACCACATCTTTCTTTACTATGTGCAAATTTGTCACTGCATCTT